CCCTCCCCCACCTAGGAGCCGGGCCTGCTGCCGGCCACTTCTGGGGCACAGCCCACTCTGTGCTGCCAGCCCAGGCAGGTACCTGCCTCAGCCCCCGCTCACCTGATCCCCCTGCCGCCACGAGCCCAGCGGGCTCCGGCCCTCGTTTGAACCCCCCTGGGCTAGTGCACCAAGGGCAGCCCCGCAATGAGCCGCAAGAGAGCAGGAGGGCTGGGACGCGCAGCTGCTGCATCAGGGAGCACCCAGTGTCTGCCCCGGCCCCGGCACCTGCCTGCCCCCTGGCTTCTGAGAGATTCTTTACCCTCTCCTGCTCCCTGCTCTCCAGCGTGCACTGAGTGGTGGGCTGAGAGCCAGGCCTGGTGCTGCTCTACCGGTGGGGTTAGAGAGCCCCCCCATTCGTCCAAACCGCCCCTTGGCCGCGGCACAGCATCCCCTTCCATCGCGCCGTCACTGCCCCGGGCCCGCCAAGAGCCCATGGGCAGGGCGGCTCCTTCGTCGGCCCTTCGCCCACGAGGTTTGCACACGCTGAGCGGAGCTGGTGGGCTGAGAGCCAGGCCTGGTGCTGCTCTACCGGTGGGGTTAGAGAGCCCCCCCATTCGTCCAAACCGCCCCTTGGCCGCGGCACAGCATCCCCTTCCATCGCGCCGTCACTGCCCCGGGCCCGCCAAGAGCCCATGGGCAGGGCGGCTCCTTCGTCGGCCCTTCGCCCACGAGGTTTGCACACGCTGAGCGGAGCTGGTGGCTCTGCTCCAGCCTGGCTCTCAGGAGATCTGCCTGAGTCTCCCTGGAGCCCCGGTGCCATTGCCTGTGCAGACTGGCACCGGGACGGGGCGCACCGTGCGTCTGGGCAGCACCTGGCACAAAAGGTCCCTCCCCTGTAATGGGCATAATTAATAATAAATTGGGGTGTCCCCTTGTCCGTATTAATGGGCTTCCCTCCTGTTCCCTGTGCAGAAGCAGCTGATGGAAACTCTACTCTGGGCGGAGGAGCTGGCACCATGGGCCTCAGCGCCAGGTATGGCCCCCAGTTCACACTGCAGCATGTCCCCGACTACCGGCAGAACGTGTACATCCCCGGCAGCACGGCCACCCTCTCCAACGCCGCAGGCAAACGGGACGGGAAGAGCTCAGGCTCCTCCAGTGGCAACAAGAAGAAGTCGGGGAAGAAGGAGAAGAAGTAGAATTTGCAGCCCCTCAGCAGCGTAGACCCCAGGGCAGATCCCGCCAGCACTCCCCCAAATCACAGCCTGGGCACCAGGATGAATGTGAATTTTTGTGATGCAAAAGTAGGAAACACTACGAATGTACGTCATCATCAGAGCTAGGAGTAGGGCGCCTACTGTTAGTCCTCATGATGAAAACTAATTGGAAACAAAACAAAACAAAACCCAAGTGCCCTGTTAATACTAACTAATGTTTTATACGGTCCCTTGGGTAAATTCATATGCAAGGATGTAAAATCTTTTAACCGAGGCTTTGGATTTGATTTGCTCCAGAACGGTCCAAAAGAGCGAGAAGGCTTGTACTTGGCTTTGCCCAGTGTAAATAACGGTAGCACGGGGTTTTTTAATGTATATACCCTTGATCATTTTTCAAAAGAAGAAGAAGTTCCCCAGATTAGAACCCATGGCCCAGATATTGCGATTTAACTTGCCATTAGTGACTCTCACCCTGAGGAAGCTGGAACTGGATGCCTAGTCCCCACGCTGGTAGGGAGTGCTTTTGTTACTGTTTACCTGTTAGCTAAAAGAAATCAGTGTTTACACTGCATGAGCCTAGGGGACTACGGCGAAGGTGCATTTTAAACATTAATTTTTTTTTACATGACCAGTGATGGCCTGAAATATGAAATAAAACTCCGAGTGTCTAGGAGACAGGGAATGCATCCAATGCCACTAGCACTACTGAGTGCTACACAACCTGTCCACAGTGATCGAGAGGCCTCTAAAGAGCAGGTTCATCTCCAAGCTTTGCAGTAAATATTTATATGTACAGTTAATGTTTTCCTGGAACTGAAGTGCAGGTCTAAGTCCTCTGCTGTGAGAACAAGGAGCTGCAGCTCAGCTAAGTCCACAGCAAGGGACGCTATTGCCAGAGAACAAACGGCACCTCTCTGTGAAATGGAGACTGAATGCTTCCCCCTCCTGCACATTGAACTGCATGCAAAATCCTCACCTCACCCCTCCACCTCGTAGATGGCTAACTCCGCCGGGTGTAGGGCGTCATTGCATGCGTGCACGGCATGGTGCACACGCTGGCAGAGACGGGAGTCCCAGGGCAGGCCAAGCCGCGCGTGCTGGGGGGGCGGGTGCAGCGTAAAGCGCTCTCGAGCCGTGCTCGGCCCTAGGGCAGCACGGAGATTTGCACATTCCCTGTCTATGCAGAGCAGCCAAGGAGCAGCCTTAGTTCATTGGCCTTCAGAACTGGACCCTCACAGCTGACCGGATGGGACCACACTCACGGGTAAGGGACATGCCACTGACTGCAGAGCCGGGGGCTGCTCTGAAGAGGCGCCCCCGGGCAGCCAGGTGACTAGGAGGTAGATGCTGATGCAGTGCTAGACGGGCAGGAAGCCTTTGCTTCGGCGCTGGCACTGGGATTCTTCCACACTGATAGACGGGGGTCAGGACGTAGGGTCTCTCCACTATGTGCCCTTTGTGGCTGCGTGCTCTGCTGGCGGCTGGCCCACGCCCGGCACAGAGAGAGCGGGCGTTGCCCTCCGGCAGCGTGGCGTCGAGTGCCCCAGAGCCAGGAAGGCCGCACTGTACCCTCAAGCCGCGGCTGGCTTCCCCTCTCCGAGTACGGGGCCAGGCAAGGACCCGCACACAGGGAGCGGGGCCGGGAGTATCTTCGCTTCTGCTGAGTCACACACCTGAGACGATCCAGCCTTCTATGATCACTCAGGTTCAGCTTTCTCCAAGCAGCCAGGGTGCTCGCTGGCCTGAGCCAGCCGCCTCCGGCAGTATTCACCAGAGCATTGTGCACTAGCTGCTGCCCACTGGCCGGCGGCTCCCTCCTCGTGTCTAGAGCCATAGGCCCTGTCTCTGCGAAGAACATGTCTGTAGGATGTTTTGTACGATCCCAGTCACCCCCGCGGTGGCTGCACTAGAAACAGTTTACACACTTAGTCAGGCTCATACAAACCAAGGTAGTTCTTATGTGACCCTCTAGAAGTACTGTAGGAACGTAGTGTTTAGATTTCCTTTTAATCAGCAAGCTGAGGTAGCGTAGAGAATGTTTTGTACTAGTGCTGTGTTATTTTTATCTCCGTAAATGCGTGGACATCAGTATTTTCAATTTCTCTTTATCTTCTCCCCTGCGGTCTGTGCTCTAAGTGTGTGTGAAGCGAAACCCTCGTCTCTTCCATGTGTCTAATACTGAATTATACTTCTATATGACAAATGCTTCTCTCCTCCCTCGTCCATGTGACCAACGTCAGTGTGCTACAGCAAGTTTTATACTCTAATATTTATATTGCTTTTTTTCTTTGGGAAAAAATAATAAAACGGTTTCTTCTGAACGGCTGCGGAGTTGCTCCTGCGAGGTCGCGGGGCCGGCCTGGCTCCACGGGCCTGTGTCTCGAGGCTGCAGACGGCGCCGTCTAGCCTGGGTATTAACTCAGCATTTAAAATCATGCCAGTCTAGACGCAGCCCCAGTCCCAGCCTGAGCAGGTAACAAGGCTCTTCCCAGGGGGAGAGGCCACCTGGCTGGGAGGCAGGGCCTGGGAGCTGGGCAGAGGGGCGCCTGGGGAAGCATGGAGGAAGCAGACTAACCAGTGTAGGGGGGTTCAGGGGCCTGTGACCCCTCCCCCCAAGGGCACTAAGGCTGTCAGCCTACCCGCCTGTGCCTGCATCGGGCCTATGCTGAGCTGTATCTCGGAGCAGCAATAAACCCCCCGTGCTACTGGCCCACGGAGTCGCCTCTTGCTGCCGACGGGGTGCAGGGCTGGGGCCATCACAGAGCTTGGCAGAGCAATGTTTTGTATTGTGTAGCCAGCTCTCCAGCCATTCGGAGAGGGCCCAGTGCGTCCCCCACCAACTCTGCCGTCATCTGGGACAGCTCCCATGGCTCCCCGACCACATCCCCCTCCACCACTGACAGCGACTGGCATGCCCACCCCCCTCCCCCC